CTTCGAGAGGTAAAGACATCAAATCAATTGGTTGTCGAGGCTTCAAACCTGTCACCACTTCAAAAGGACTACGTCCAGTGGTTCTATTAACTGAACTATTGTATGCAAATTTAGCAATATGTAAAATCTGATCCCAATTAGATGCATGTTCTCCAACTAGACATCGTAAAAGATTTCCCAAACTGCGGTTAATTACTTCAGTCTGTCCATCTGATTGTGGATGAAAAGGCGATGAAAACTTCAATTTAGTTCTTAACATCTTCCATAAACTTCGCCAAAAGTGGCTCATGAACTTCACATCTCGGTCTGAAACTATGGTTAAAGGTAGCCTATGTAGTCGAACAACCTCTTTGAAGAAAACCTTTGCAATATGGACCGCATCGGAAGTCTTAGAACAAGCTATGAAATGCGCCATCTTAGAGAACCTGTCAACTACTACAAAAATAGAATCATGTCCCCTGATTGTTTTAGGCAATCCAAGGATAAAATCCATGTTTAGGTCTTGCCAAGGCTCATAAGGTATGGGCAAAGGTGTGTAAAGACCGGTATTCTTCTTGGTTCCCTTAGCTAATTGGCATACTCGACAATGGGAAACAATTTTAGCAAAATCTCGCTTTAAACTTGGCCAATAAAAACGATCTTCAACCATAGCAATTGTTTTATCCCTTCCAAAATGTCCAGCTGCTCCTCCGCCATGTAATTCCCAAATGACTTGTTCCCTTATAGAAGTATTAGGCAAACAAAGGGAAGTTCCCTTGAAAAGGTAGCCATCATGCAATGAGAAACCTGCACAATTAGTTTGCTGTCCAGACTGTAATTCTGCAAAAATAATGCTGAAATCTTTGCAACTACTGTAATCTTTCTTCAACAAGTCAAATCCCACCACTTGAATGGCCATTGAAGTAAGAATGTGCACCACTCGACTTAGTGCATCAGCTACTCTATTTTCAGTCCCAGTTTTATGTTTGATAACAAATGAATATTGTTGCAAAAAAGAAACCCACTTTCCATGCCGAAAGTTCAAATGTTTTTGGGAGTTTATGTATTTTCGTGCCTCATGGTCGGAATACAACACAAACTCCTTGAAAACAAGATAGTGATGCCAATAGCGAATAGTTTGTACAATTGCATAAAATTCCTTATCATAAGTAGAGTACCTTTGCCTTGCTTCATTCAACTTCTCACTGAAATAGGCTATTGGGTGGCCTTCTTGACTAAGTACTCCACCAATCCCAATATGTGAGGCATCACATGCCACTTCAAATACTTTTGAAAAATCTGGTAGTCGTAGGACAGGAGCTTTAGTCATCATTTTCTTGACTTCTTCAAAAGCTCTAGCGGCAGCTTTAGTACAAGTGAATTGACCTTTCTTCAAGCAATCAGTTATAGGAGCCATTAAAGTGCTGAAACCTTTAATGAATGGCCTATAGAATGTAGCTAAACCATGGAAACTCCTTACTGCATGCAATGTTGTAGGAAGTGGCCATTCTAGAATCGCCTTGACTTTATTTGGATCAACTTCAATTCCATTGGCAGAGACAACAAATCCCAAAAATACCACACTTGTGGTCATGAAACAACACTTCTTGAAATTAATGTAAAATTTCTCATGGCGTAGGATCCTCATTACTTGTCGGAGATGATCGATGTGTTCTTCATTGTTCTTGCTGTAAATTAAAATGTCATCAAAATATACAACAAGAAACTTACCAATAAAAGGCTGAAAAATGGTGGTCATAACTCTCATGAAAGTACTTGGAGCATTAGAAAGACCAAATGGCATAACAAGCCATTCATACAACCCGTCCTTTGTTTTAAAGGCTGTTTTCCATTCATCTCCCGGGCGAATACGAACTTGATGATAACCTTTTCTTAGGTCAAGTTTAGAGAAAATACAAGCTCCAGCCATCATATCAATCATATCATCAAGTCGAGGTATTGGAAACCTATACTTGATGGTGATCTTATTAACCGCACGGCTATCCACACACATCCGCCAAGTTCCATCTTTCTTTGGTGTAAGTAATGCTGGAACTGCACAAGGACTTAGACTTTCACGAATATGTCCTTTAGATAAGAGCTCTTCAACTTGCCTCTTAAGTTCTGCATACTCTGTAGGATTCATACGGTAAGCAGGAAGATTAGGTAATTGAGATCCAGGCACAAAATCTATAGCATGCTGAATGCTGCGCATTGGTGGCAGTTCATTAGGTAAATCCTCAGGAGCAACATCTGAAAATTCAGCTAACAAGTTAGACACTTCAGGAGCTACTTGCAATGGAGCATTTATAGAGTCATGTATCTCCCTAACTACAAGAGCAAAAATCACCCCATTCTCTTTGATCTCACTTTCAAACGGTTTCTTTGTAAGAAAATGTAGGGGCTGTTTTACTTGTTCAATTCCCATCACCCTATCAACTCTTTCTTTGGCTTATCCTGGTGTTTTCTTATTGTTTCTTCTTTCAAAGGCTTCAAAACAATTTGCTTGTTATTGAACATGAAGGAATAAGTGTTGGCTTTTCCATTGTGATGCACTTCGCAATCATATAACCAAGGTCGTCCCAAAAGAATGTGTGTAACTGTCATTGGGATGACATCACACCATATATTGTCGTTGTAAAGACCTTGAGTTATAGAGACTAAGCAGCGCTTTGTAACCGGAATAGATGCATTGTTAATCCATGCCACCTTGTAAGGTTGAGGATGGGGTTCGGTAGGCAACTTAAGTTTTTGTACTGTAGATTCTGAAACCACGTTCATACTGCTGCCACCATCAATTATTAACTTCCTAGTCTCCTTTCCACAAGAGACTAAAGTCTGAAAAATTGTTGTTCTCCTCCAATCTTCTGTTTCTTGCTTAGGTGCAGCAAGAATACGTTGAACAATGGAAAGAAAAGAAGTATCTCCATCAATTTCTTCTTCTAGATCATCAGCATTGAGTTTAGCCATGCCATCCAAAAATTCAGCATCTTCTTCCTCATTTTCTTGTGATTCTTCCACTTCAGCATTGACATACAGATTTTTCTTCGGGCAATTCCATGCCTTGTGCCCAATTTCTCCACATCTAAAACAATTATCTCTCACATCTTTCTTCCCATTATCAGCAGCTTTGTTTCTAGTGTCAACAGTCTTATAACCATGTTGTGGAATGATTGTTTTGTTGGCTGTAAATTTCTTACTGCTTTGCTCCCCAGCTTGAAAAAAAGTCTTCCGGTTGAAGGTTTGTTTCAAATTCTTTTCAATTCGAACAGCCAGCTGGAATGCTTCTTCAATAGAATATATAGCACTTGTCACCATCTGGTTACGAATTTCAGGTTTCAAACCTAACTTGAATCTAGAAAGTGCTTGGCGCGGATCTTCCTTTGCCCTACACCGAATTTTCAGCTCTTCAAAATTGTTCATATACTCTATTACAGTCATGCTCCCTTGTCTCAAAGAAGTAAGCTCATCAAAAATTTCATATTGATAATGATAGGGCAAGTATTTTCTCTTCATGCAAAGTTTCATCTTCTCCCAATTCATTGCAGGAAGCCCTTGAATCTGATTTTCATATTCAATACCACTCCACCAGATTTGGGCTTGTCCAACAAGTTTCATGGTGGTGAAACGAACTTTTCTCTCATCGGGCATATCATACCATTCAAAATACCTCTCTAATGTGGCAAGCCAATCAGAAAAAAATTGTGGATCAATTCTACCGTCAAAATCTGACACGTCAACACGAACTTTCTTGGTAATATCTTTTGTTGTATCATAGAAATCTAACCTGTCAAGCCTGTCTTGCCTTCTAAATTGTGCTCGAGGAAGGGGGTTTTCAATAAGCTGTTGAGTCCTCTCTTGTGCCTGCGTAAAACAAACATCTGCTGGCAAGATCTGTACGGGGGAACTAGAAGATGGATCAGCGATTCCCTTCAATCTTTGACCTTGATCTGCACTTGCGGAGGCTTCAGAATTCTGATGTAGAGTATTTCTGGTTTGTTGTGCAAGCAAAGCATCAACAGAAGCCTTTAGAGATGCTATTGTTGATTCAAACGATTCCAATCTTGCATCAGTTGCAGCAAATTTCTGATGGATCTGACTCTCCAATGCATGAACTTCTTGTTTAAAACCTTTAAATTCAGACTGCAATTCATTGTTGCTAACCATGTTTAAGAGTGGGCGGACTGGTAAAGAAAAGCCTGCTTTGATACCAAACTGATGTAGAACACTTTCAGATTAGGGTTTTGGCAGTTTTAGACTAATGAACAGTGCCGCGTGAACAGTAACTGAGTCGCGTGAACAGTAACTGGGGAAGAAACCATGATAACAAAGAGAAAGAATATGAAGAAACCCTAGGAATCACTCCTAGAAATCTTTAGGAGTCACACCTGAAGTTGGATTGTATCACACAATCCCAAACTCAAGAAATCCTAGAAGATATCTCTTAATAAAACCAATAATAATGTTTTAAACATAACCCTAGCACAGTATTTATAAGAGAAATCCTATGCTGCCCTAATAAGTAAAATGACCTAAATGCCCTTAATGAAGTAATTTAAATAGAAATTAAATAAAACCCTAACTAACTCTACATAATGCAATTAATTAAAAAAAAACTCTAAAATAAAAATAAACAAATTAACTAAATTTTTAAGCTCTTCTAAGCTCCCAGGTAAGATCTCTATCCTCCAACTCATGCCAAATCAGAGCTTGAGCTTTGGAAGAGTTAGTTCCTCGTCTTTTATAAACCTTAATGGGTTGCTGCCATTTATCTCTATCAACTAGCTTGGTTGGGGCATGACCAGGAAGAAGGATAGAGGTGCCTAGAGGCACACCTTGGGATGTCACTGGCCAGCTGGAGTTGACAGGCGCCCATCTCTATCTGCTGGAACACCACTGCTGCTGCCTTTGCCTGCCGGACAATTGGTGGGAGTGTTGCCCCCTTTACTGGGTGACCCTGCTATATTTCCATTGTGTAATTGTCATGTAACCCCCCTTTTATCTGCTGTACAGTTTACTTGATGATGTATTGGCTGCATATACGTGCACAGTTGTATATAAGAGTCTGGCCAACCTTTATTCTTGTATTATACAGCAAGACTCTCCAGAGCTTCCCCTTACTGTGTTGTGCTCTGTTCTCTTCTCTGTTACCTGCTCTGTTATTGCTTGTCTTTCTTGTTGTTGCTTCTGCTGGCTGTGACAGAGAGAGTGCATGAGTCTGTGGTTGGAAGGAGTGTCTAGGGTGGTGAGGCTGAGTTGGGGGGTGTGGATGAACCTCAGGCTGCTGCACAGAGGGGTGTTCGGTGTTCCATGAGCTGCTGCTGAAGAACCACTCTATGATACATGCATAAACTGACTAACTACACCAACTACATATGTGCATCATCAGGCTGTGTGTGGGAAAGATATATAAGTTTCCCACCCGTTTCTGGTGTCTTTCCTTTTCAGTGGTTTCACCCTAAAATCCCTGTTTCTGCCAGCAAATCCATACATACTTTCTTTGAGATATGAAGATACCTTTGTCTGATCTAGCAAACCACAATTCTGAGAAAGTATAATTAACTGTCCAAGGTTGTTGCTTTCAAATTCCTTAGCAGGGATTTTTTTTTTAAAAAATGTTTGCAACTTAATCAGGATTGGAGCCTGTCAAAATTATGTCATCAACATACACAATGAGCAATGTAATTTAGTTCAACATGTACATACACTAAATGTCTTTTGTGGTGTCAATAAAGCTAGAACAGCACATGGACCCAAACTTTTCCAATATAATACTGTTTTGATAAATGCTCATTCACTTGTATCTTTAGTTCAGCATTTTCCACAGGGTTCATTCTATAATCTGATAAATTAGGTGTGCACCTGGAAGTAGATAGATTGCATGTTGGATGTTGTGCAAGGGTAGCAAGCCATTGGGCAACTCTTTTGAAGGAGTCTTTAAGTTAATTTATCTCTTCTTGAGGCACAGCTGTAGGCTGATTGGCAGCTCTATCACTTACTTCTCTAGTACAATATATATAATTCCAGAGTCCTTGTTCTGTTGCCCAAACTTCTTGGTAAGTGATTGTAGGGGTTTCTTTAGGGTGACAGCTTGTTCTTGCTTTTCAGAAACTTGTTTGACTTTCTTCCTTGGTCCTTTCCAATTCTTTGCTCCTCTTTGGATGAAGAGTGATATATCTGTCATTACATATGCACTAGCAAGCATTATTTTTAGATAAAGATTTCTTTTTTTCAGCAGCTTGTTTTGATTTCCTTCTTCTAATCCTTTTGATTGTCTCTTTCTCATTTTGAGAATTTGAAGTGATAAATTAATAGGATTTTGGTTTTGTGTTTTTTGTTGTTTTTCCTAGTAGTTTAAGTGAATATTTAGTTGAATCTAATCATGGCTGATGCTAATCTCGAATGCATTCTCTATGGCCTGCATATGATTGTATTCATTTAGTTTTTGCCAAATAATTCTTAGAAGCACTTTTAATTGTACTCAGGGCATATTACCTTTTACTTTCCTGGTTCACAAGCAGTTTTTACGGGAGACACTTTGTTTAGCCTATCATGTGGGAAGCTTTTTGAAGGAACCCCTGAACAGGTATTTGAACTTAAGGCAGTAACTTCAATGTCTTTGATTGCATATTTCTGACGGCTTTATCTAGCATTCGTGGGATCCTCAGAGACTCCTGACTTATGATGTAGTTAACCTGATCAGAATATTTATTTTTTCTATTTTTTTATTCTTTTGGTTCCCAGTTCAAAGGGCACTGACTCAAAATATTGGTCGAATTAAAAATTTCAATGTCTCCAAGTCAGTATACTGAAAAACATTAAAAAAAGGACGAAAACGTTGTGAAAAGCACAAACATTGGTACCTAAAGTTGCTTTATATAATCCTTTGGGGTTTGCTGAACCTTGTCCTTAACCGTAACCATAGCCAAAAGCCTCTACTTTTGGGAGTATGTAGTATGTCTAGTACTTGGTGAGATGGTGTGATAATGGGTTACATAATTTGTATATATGAATGACCACATGAGATGATCAATATTCCAACTGTGGTGTATCTTGCTTACTGAAAGCTTCTAAAAATCGGTTGTGAAGGGTAGAACTGCTTACAGATTTTCTGGTTGGGGAACAGTGGAATTTTGTTTAATTTCAGATGTGGTAGTTGGTTGGATACCTTTATAACAGGTCCTGAGGGTTGATTTGAGGGTGGATTTTGATGGTAAAATTTGTTAGATGTTACTTCTGGTGCCATGAATTTGGAAATGGAAAGAACCTATCTATTGGGCTTTTGATACAGTTGATGTATAAACATATATGATGTGGTAGGCCTTAACATGCAAACTTAGCAGCAGAATAGTTTGATTCCTTTTTTCAGGATTTAAATCAACAGTTTACAATCCACAGGTCAGAAAATCTTAAAAAATATATATATCAGTAAATTAACTTGTAAAATACATGTAAGAGAAATATGGGCATATAATTTATTTTGATTGCTATAACAAATCTAGTATGGTCAGTATAATATGGGATTATGTTATGGATGTATGTATACACAGATTTCACATCAAAGAATCATGTTACTGAAATCTTCAGCATTCTAGATATACACACATATCATGGCCATCTCCCCATTCATGTAAATCAATCATTTCTGAATATGTCCATCCAATGCAACCATCATAACTGAATTGAGTTCATTTAACCTTTTATGTTTGGGTGAACTAGTTCATCCATACTTGAAACAATCAGAAATAGTACTTGCTATTGGATTCTGATTATTGAGAAAGCCAAAACCAGATGCTAATATTGTAGGGGCTGCTACTATGGGAGGCGATGAGGAAACTATTTATTTGAGCTTTGGCAATTTCTCCTGTCACACTCATGAAGTTGATTCACCATATTTAATAACTGACATTTAGTAGCTTATTGCATCAATTTGTTAAAAAATGGAAAATCTAATAATAGATATAAAAGAGATAGGAAGGAGACACAGTTTAAGTGATTTGGCATAATCAGCCTACAACCATGGGAGATAATAACTATAGTATTATAATTGTTTCAGCTAAATGAATACATATAATGCAGGTGTATTTATAGACAACTAAACATAGGATTAGGATAAAATTTCTTATCTTTGTTTATAGTTATCCTAATATTTTATTTCTAATGATAGGATATAAAATATATTTATCTCAATCTTATTTCTAACTTCCCTCAAGATGAGTATGGAACATTGTATAATACTCATCTATGAATCAACTCATGCCAACACAAATTTAATAACAATTTCACAAAGTTAACATACATTTAGCTGATGTAGTAAATTGGAGAAATCTGAAATTTGATTCTGTTTCTTTATTATAATAAAATATTGAGTATCTATATTTATCACTTGGGCCTCGGTTTAAGTTTAAAAGAATTAGGTTTTGGGAAAAGTGAGTTGGGAGAAAGTGAGTTCAGGGAATATGGGTTTATATTACATTTTATTAGTGAGATTGTAAAAAATATAATAAATTTCCAATTTATTAAAAAATTTAATCATCACCATAATTTTATTACATTAATTTCACATTATTTGAAAAAAATAATCAAGAAAAAAATTTAAAAAAATCTCACGGGGGTATCATTTAGGGGTGTCAATATATACCCGTCTGGGAGTATATATTACCCTGGGCCACCCCTCCCTCCGGTTTCATTGAATAATTATTTCTTCTTAAGAAAATGAGAAATTTCTTTCTCCTTTTTTCTTTTTCTTGCTAACTCTAATATCATTCTTATCACAACAAGTAATGAAAGAATGACTTTGATAATAATACGTGAAAAGTGTAGTAATTGTTGGTTCTTTTCATGGTTCAACTTCTTCAACATTTGCCTTTTTTGTGTTTCAGATGCTTTCTTCTCTTGAAAAGATAATGGCTTTGCCAGATGACACGCACATATACTGTGGTCATGAGTATACACTGGTAAGTTCTCTTTTATGTTTTCATAATTGTTATTGCTCTACTATTTGGACTTTGGAAAGAACATAAGCTCAAGCTTGCGACCAGTTCAAACCTGGTTCCCTCTTTCTTCCATGTGATCAGGAAGCAAATAAATAAATATGTAGAAGTCATTGTGGACAACAATTTTGATGCCAGTTATTCTGACAGAGCAATTCAAAGTTTGCATTGGCAATTGAACCTGGAAACAAAGCACTTCAGTCCTACGCTGCACATGTAGCCCATCTTCGAAATAAGTGCTTACCAACGGTAATTTCTTAATGTGTCTTATTCTCTTTATGTATAAAATTTGTGATTTTGCATTCATAATTTATGAGTCTGCATTGTGAATGCCTTCTATAAGAATGGGGAAAAGTCTTCCAAGAAGCTAGTAAATAAGGGAGTAGTTTTCTCTAAATCTGAGGTTTAGTTGATGAGCCTGCCATGTACTGTTTTCTTTGTGAGTGATGAAAAGTAGTTGTATTGTCAGAAGAATCACATGATTATCAAATTTATGCCAATTGCTGATATGGACATAAGCAGATATCAGGGATATATGAAATTGAAACTTAGTCAAGATGGTTGTATGTTGGATAAGTTTTCAAAACTTTTAACAACCATGCTATAGTAAATTGTGTGTCTTTAATCCGGCTAATGAGATTGTGTAGGTTAGGGAAAATGTTCGCCCAGATTGAGTATTCGTTTTATTTGGCCAGTCTTGAAACTGAGTTGAGCAAGCTCAATGTTCCATTGTGGCACATATTTGCTACACTGATCTTACTACTAGTGTAAGTTTAGACTTTCTCTGAGCCAATGTTTTGACATGCTACTAATTAATGTGTAATAGACATTAGTGTCATGATTGGAACAGGGAATGTCTGTTTTTTATTCTTGAATAATCCAATGGCCTGATTTTGGCAGAAGATGTGCTATTTTGCTTACTAAGTCTGGTTATTGAAATTTTATATGTGTTCCAGAATCTCATCATCCCCAATTTTCCATAAACTACCTTAGTTCTTTCATTGATGTCTTAGATTCCAACCACGCTGAAGAAAGAGAAGTTATGTAATCCATTCCTTCGCACTTCAAGTATGGACATCCGTCAATCCTTAAATGTCCCAACAAGTGCCAGTAATGCTGAAGCTTTGGGTGCCATCCGCAGGGCAAAGGATAACTTTTAGGTTTGAACTTACCTTTGTACGAGTATATATAGATCCATTTGTCTAACTGACACTTCAAGTTAATTTTGCTTTACAGTTTGCCTGGCAAGAGTAATATATTTCTGTCTAAGTTCTTTCCTACACCCCTACTACCCCTTCCCGAAGAAAATTGTCTTAAAAAAGGGGGAAAATAGAAAATATAATTAGTGTAGTTGACAGCAAGATGAAATATAAACGCTGAGTTTAGTAGTGTGCTCTTCAACAACTAAGCAACTTTTGTGAAGGGCTGGGAAATTTCCACTGGTATGCTTCCTGCCTTTTGCTAATGGAATTAGGATGTAAATGAACCATTGTGCTCTAATATTTCCAGTAGACTTGAGGATATTGTATAGAGGTACGTTTTCAAAAATTCATAGCATAAAGTTAGATGTAAAAAAAATGTTTGAAGCGTTGGGAGTTGGGTTATATTGAGGGAAAATGTTATTGCCATGTCAAGTGAAATCTGAGAAATTTTAGCTTCTAACTTCAATATGAAGAGGGCAACCCTCTTTTAACCCCTCATGCAAAATAAGGAGTCTCATGGCGTAAAATAGTCTTAAAAAAGTGAGGGGATTTTTGTAATTTTTAGTCCATGTAGTATTTAAACAATAAGAAAAGAAAATTAGATATTCAATTTCGAAAGTGCCGAAGTGTATGTACTTTGTTCACTACATCGGAGTATTTAAAACCTGGTTATGAAGCTTTTCTGACAACAGTGCAAAGGCAAATCTGGCCAACGAAATGGACTTTCGTTTTTTATACTACTTTGTTTAATGATGAAGCGGTAATAGACTTTGTACTTTGACTTTGTGAATAGTGCAGTAGCAAATGCTTTCTTTGACTAAATCGATTAATACTCGTAATTACAAAAATTGCTAATAAAAAAAGAAAGAACCTAAAGTTGCATTGTAAACAACTAATAATCACAAGAGTTCTGAAGCTGCTGAATCATGTATCTACCTCTGATCCAATCCTTTGCTTTAATCGTTTTGTCTGTCTATTTTTTTATTCAAGGGATATACAGATAAATTAACATGTATATTTGTTCTAGTATATGTCTTCTTAACAGTGCTCAGCAGCTTTGAGATTGAGCTTGTTTTCACGCTTGGTGTAATTCGTTTTGTTATGTAATATAGTTTTAAAAAACATTAACGGAGCACTGTATTAACCCTTGGGTTTCAAGGCTTACTCTTTTTAATCTCAAGATAAGTTAGATTTAAAAAATTGACAATCTGATAGTGTCAAATTCCGATCTTAACAAGTTTGCTAGCCTTCAATTTGTTTGGTAATTCTCTCTGAATTATTGGTTCTTTTGTAGCAAGTTACCACAATTCTCCTTGAGTAGGATCAAATAAATTATTGTAAACTCTGTGGATAATGTTGTCCTTTGTCTATTAGGTTTTTAATGCAGCTATTGGTATAGTGGGCGTAAAATTAACTAATTGTTGGTTTCTAAACTATAAAGCGTTTTTGGGTTTTTATGATAGTTAAAAAAGCCCAAAATCCTATCTATTAAACATGTTTATATAGTCTGACGGTCAAAAAAGGAAGATTCGCCTAAGGAATCCTAAACGTAGCCCAAGAGCAAAGGAAAGAGTGTTTGATCAAAAAATCAATTCCTTGATTTTATATCCTACTTCTTACAGCTCATGCAGAGGCTACTGAAAGGGGAAGTCACTTGTGGCCTTGTGATATATTGTGAAATTTTTGAAGCATTGGGTGGATGGGCCTACCAAACATATTTTTTTTTTTTATTTGTTTGGGTGGGGGTTTGGATTTGAGAGGGGTTAATGTATTAGAGGGCGTGGGGTGCGATTGGTATTTTGGTAAAGGAATCAACTTCTTGTCAAAAAGCATTTCATGAATACAAATTCACAAATTTTATACTTGAAGAGACAAAGGAATGAGCACACTGTAGCATGCAAACTCGAAAATTTTATGTGTAAAAGAAAAGGAAAAAAGAACGAGACACAAAGAAATGGAGATGGGCCAGACGTGGAGCATAACACTAAAGTGCTTCGTTTCTGAGTTCATTGATCAACTCAAACTTTGAATTGCTTCATCAGAACAACTACATAAAAATTATTGTCTAGAATGACTTGTACATGTATTAAAGTTTTGGGCCATCAAAAATAAGATATGGCCCTAGATAAGTACAAAAAAAGGAACAAAAAAGAAAAGACATTTTCTTAAGTTGATGCTTTTGAGTATTAATTTAAGGTTGGCTTTCTCTTAAAAAAAAAAAAGCACTTGTTTTCTCTTTTTAAACACAAAGGTGAAAAAGAAGTAAATAATTTTATTTTTTTATTTTTAGTATGCAGTAATACAATTGCATGATAGTTGGGTAATAACCAACCATCATTCCCACGTTTTATTCTCGTCAGTACTGCTACCATTCTCCCTCTCCATTCCATTTTATCGTTTTTGTCAAGATCTCTACTGATAAGTTGGGTACTCTTTCTCTCTCTCTCTCTCTCTCTCTCTCTCTCTCTCTTTCTCAACAAGGAGATTAAGAGCTTCTAAATAAGGAGTATGTAAACTATATTCTGGCAAAAATAATTATTATCTGAGTTTGGCTTGAATGGAGTTGATTGTTATGATCTAGGTGGAAGCAACTCTGAAAACTTTTTGGTCATCAAAGTGAAGCATGTGAATGAGAGAGAGAGAGAGAGAGAGAGAGAGAGAGGGCAAGCAGATGTATACATAGCCTTGCAACAAAAATGGTTTCGGACAACTTTAGAGCTTTTTTTGTTTGCCAGTTTTCTGTTTTCATTTTCAATGAAAATAGAAAATAGGTTGAAAATATGTTTAATTTGCATATTTTTTATTTTCATTGAAAATTTTTTCTAAAAAATGAGCTAAAATTGACAATTATAAAAAATTGTTTCAGTATTTTTTTAAGAAAATTTTAGAAATGGAAAATATTTACTAATAACTAGAAACCATTTTTTGACAATAGGAAACTCCAAAACCAAACCAAATGTATCTCTTAAAATTTTAAAATGAAAATTATTTTTAGAAAATATAAATAGAATATATTTTCTGAACCAACCTTGTCCACAGTTATCTTTGCTTCTTGAATGGCTTTGTTGGAGTAATAAGATTACCACCAAAGAAAAACGCTGAAGATGGGAAACTGGAACCATAGGAAGGGTGCATTGCAATAGTACAACAATACAATAGTGGAAATTATATAGTAGTGGAGCATTGTGTATTCCTTTTCTTAATTATTTTTGTACATTATGTAATAACCCTTTATGTCCTTTGTATTCATGTATACATATATAATCAGATGTATAGACTTTCTAATGTGTAAGAAAGCCTTATTGTTTTTCCAACTCACTCTCTTGAGCATCTTCTTCTCCTCTACTACACCCCTTTCTCTCTTGCTCAGTTGTTTTTTTCTCATGGTATCAAAGCCTTGAAGGAGAAATCCAATTCTTCTCTCAACCTCATCTCTGCTTCTAATATATTATAGTCTTATTTCTTGCTGTCACAGACTCCTACCTCCAATTCTTTTGACCATTATGTCGACCAGCTTCAGCTTATTCGACTTTCTCTACTAGTACTCCTACCTTCATTGTTAACTCTCTTAACTTCTCCTTAATTACTCAGTCCCTAAACATCAAACTAAAGGAAGGAAATTATATAGTCTAGAGAAACCAGCTACTCAATAGCATTTGTGCTCATGCATTAGATGCATTCATCAAAGAAAGAGTAGCTCCCCCTTCTAAGTTTTTGAATGAAGGCAAGATAGTAACCAATCCAGAATATTAGGCATGGAATCACATAAACTGTCTCATTATGAGTTGGTTATACTCATCCCTGACTCCTGAACCCCTTGGTCACATCGTTGGTCTCTCCACTGCTACCAAAATCTTAGCGGCACTAAAGCCAGATATGAGTCAGCCTCTACTACTCATATAATGAGCCTTAGAACCCAACTCTAGCAACTGTTTAAGGGCTGAAGCACAATGTCGCAATACCTTAGGAGGCTAAAGGATGTGACAGACGCATTAGTTGTAGTTGGAGAACCCATAAGCTCTCGCGATTACTTGGGATACTTATTAGAAGGCCTTCCCTCCGAATACGATGCCTTCGTATCATTAGTTTACAATAGAGGAAACAAACCAAGCATTGAAGAAATCAAGAGCCTCTTAATGGCATATGACTAGTCTCCTGAATGGTGTCTCACACTTGACACTATCACTCTCCCTCAGGTGCAATTCAACAACCTGAGCATTGGGCAAAAACACCCTCGAGCATTGGATATATTTCTTGAAATATAAGACCAAGCTTGTCAAACATTTTGTCATTTTATAGAATGGTTGAGAACTATCACTCTTTTGAAATTCTGAGGGTGAGATTTGACTTGGGCGGGGGTTTCAAATCTATAACTAGGCTATGTGATAACTTAGGCATACACCATGAGATCTCGTGTCCTTATACCTCCCAACAAAATTGTAAAGTTGAATGTAAGAATTGTCGTGTAGTAAAGGTTGGATTGAGTCAAATGAATCATGCACATGTACCAAAAAAATTCTAGACATATGCCTTCAATAAAGTAGTTCTAATCATCAATTGTTTACATGGTTGACCCTTAAACTATTGCATTCCCTATGAAATCTTGCTTAACAAAACTATTGCCCTTAACTCTTTTAAAGTCTTTGGTTGCTCCTGTTTCCTTTGATTCAAACCTTACTCTCAACACAACTTTGATCCAAAAACTAAAGAATGTGTCTACTTAGGACGTAGCTTTCACCACAAGGGCTACACTTGCCTTGATAAGGAAACAGGGAGAATATATGTCTCCAGAGATGTTTCCTTTAATGAAACTTCATTCTCTTTTCTATCCAAAGAATCAAGGGGACCTCCCACTAACAATTCAGATAACTGGGTCTCAATAATCTCTATTCCTTGCCTTGTTCTACCTTATATCTCTCCTACTGAATACTTTAGACTTTCACCTTCTACCACCTCAG